GAGTCCGCTGTAGATTTCGCGCCAGCTCGAGACAATTTTACCGTTTGCTACGCGTTGTTTTCTTTCTTTTAAAAACTCCTTTGACCACTTTAGCAGCTTTTCTGTTATTCCATACGCTTTTAATTTTGAAACGAGTCTTTTGTGCGGCACTGTGTCAAACGCTTTCGCAAAATCTAAATAAACCACATCTACAGGACGATTCAGTGCAATATTTTCTGTTAAATAATCCACAGTTTCCATCAGATTTGTCGTGCATGATCTAGTTTTAACAAATCCATGTTGACACTTCGATAAAAATTTATTGTTTGTAAAATGTGCTAAAAGTGAGTCTCGTATTATGCTCTCTCGAACTTTACACGGAACAGAAGTCAAACTGGTTGATAATTATTCGCTTCAAGCTTACTGCCTTTGTTCTTAAAAATTGGGGTAATGCTCGCAAATTTCCATTGCATAGACAGTTCACTCTTTTCAATAGATGACATAAATATTAATGTGATTGGCTATGAGACTATAATTGTGCATGAGTTTATATTATAATGATTTAGTCGCTACCTATATGACTAATTATTGCTTCATTTATTATATTAAGGTATCAATCCAATGAAAAGAGAGAATTAAATTTGCGAGTGGCACCGAACCTACTTTTGTAAAATTATAAGTATGTAGTTTTTTCAATTTTATGGTTAAATAAATGAATAAAAAAATTGTGCAAATGTATTTTTTTTTTGCTGTAATAACTTAATTCATAACTACTTCCTTTAAAGAAGTAGTTATGAATTAAAAAACTACTTTTGATCGAACTTTAACAAAAAGTATTTATAATCTATTAACTAAACAAGAACTTATAGAAACATATACACTTTGTTTAGTTATAAAAAATCTTATCACAAACCTAAACAAAAAACGTCACTATGCATGAGCTGCGCAAATATTTTAAAGTTACGCCAAAGTTAAGGTAGCATCTACTTAACGTAACTTTTCTTGTTTAAATCAGGCTGAGCATTTTCTGAAGATGTTTTGTAATTACCCTAATTTGAGAGTTGAACTTACAAATAAAAATCGTAAGTTTTGCATTAAGCAACTGCGCAAGTTTTGTGAATACGAAATTAGTAAATTGAGAACTTACGCCAAACTTGCGCTAAACTTACGCTTGAAAATGTTTTGTGAATCCGCACCCAAGTATTTAAAGAATAGCGTACCGTTAACAACGATACCGTTAATAAAAGAAAACCGTTAAACATCATATATTTAAAAACTCAAGTTATAATATATAACACTTTTTGTATAAATATTATTAGGGGTATATCTAACAACATTTTTTAACTACCCATACGGATATCGAGTACCTAAATATTTAAAAATTATCCAGCCGGATATCCGGATAATGTACATAAAGTCCTACGATATATATTTTATAGTGACAAAATTTTACCGTGATAAACCTTCAAAATGGCGAATTTTGTTTAAGAATTTTTTATAATTAATGATAATTGTGATTTCAGAGCGATATGCATTTTATGTAGAAAGCAGATTAACAGGTAATATAATAAGTCTGGTCACATGTTATTTTGCACAACTCCGCTGCATAAAAAGCAAAAAAATTTCATTGTAATTTGTATGAAGAGAAAAAAATACTAAATCTTCTTTAGCTGCACAAGGAAGTTTAAAATGTATTCAAATCTGATCTAGTTTCTTTTTTATAAGATGCTCATGGAGTTGATGTTTTCTTTATTTGATTATACAAAAAAAAAATTACGGCTAAAGCTTTGAATTATTAGAAACATGAAAAGAAGTTTCCACTGCAAAAAGAGTTAGCACTAAAATTTAGTAACACTATATGCATCCTCTGTATATTCGGAAGATTGTTTTCATTAATTATGAGAAAAAGCAATCAAGGCTATAAATATTAATTTGTCCACGTTGAGGTAAAAGAAATCTAAATAAGTGATAAACTGATGTGTTTAATGCACATATATAATATTAGTAGTATTTTAATAATAGAAAAAAGACCTAAAATAGGTCACTCTTTTAAAAAAGATAGAATCAACTAGCTGTAACCTACCAAAAATTGCAAACAAATTTTCTCTCAGGAAAGTCAATCTATGTTTTACAATTTTAGAAAATTTAAGGTGTAACTATGCCTTATAAACAAACAAGCTATGAAAAAAGAAATGCTATGAGCCCATTTTATTTTTCGGATGTTTATCTTAAATGATCAACTGAACAATATTCTAAAGTCAAGTTTTTAATAGTTATTGTCCAAGTAAGAGAGTTGATAAATGCCTAAGTCACCTTCATGGCCCGTTGTGGACCACTTTTCTTTGATAATAATAATAATATTAAAAAGAAGCCATTAACATTAGATTATTTAAATAAATAACATTTCTAGGTTTCTTTCAATTTTAAAGTGATATTAACGTGATAAATCCGGTATATAAAAAACCAGAAAAAATTATTATCCAGTCGAATAACGGATACCGAATAATACTGCGGTCCGTATATCCTGCCAAATATTTTATCCGGGACATCCCTAAATATTATACAAATAACCTAATAGTTCTAATACACATCAAGGAGTTACACAACACGAATCAAAAAAAGGATAAAGCTTAAAAGAACTCAAATATATTATCAATTAAGAAAGTAACTTTTTTAAATTTATTTTTAAATAAAAGAAATTTGTAACTTTGAAAAAAATCAAAATTTTTAAAAACTATTAGGTTCCACAGAAAGCTCCATGATATGATATTAGAGATAACTTCAAAAATTGATATGCAAATAATGTTTATAAATAAAATTGTTATTTCTTAAGTCATATTTATTTTTTGGTTTTATAACATACAAATTTAAAAAGGATATAGGCATAATGTTTATTTTACATTGAACACAAAGCAAAAAATATTTAAAACAGTTAGATGATATATGTTGAGAATATTCATTTCCAATAAAAGAGGTCTGGCATAAATATAACGGTCTTTAAAGTTTAATAATCCTGCTAGATTATTATTCCTGCTAGATCTTCTTTATTGGCAGCTTCTGCTGCCGATTAAGAAGATCTAAGTTTTTTTTTTTTTTTTTTAGAACTACCAAGTAAACAAGCGAGTAAAAATGAACTATTGCTCATTTATTAAAAAAATATCTTACATTATTATATAATAGTTCAATATTTTTAAAAACTTTGTGGCATAAAGTAACGATATGATTTTTCTTTGTAGGATTTTTTTAAAAGAAAATAACAAAGAAGTGTATAACTTTTGATTGGTTTCTTATTATTGCATTAGAATTAATTTTTGAATTACCAATATATTTAGCTTGGATGCTTCCAACAAAATCAATATTCTTAAACGCTGTTAGTGAAGAGGGATTTTTTTCATATTTTGTTTGTGTCATCATCGCCATTTATTTGTGTCAAGCAGCATGTGATGTATTTCGATGCATTTTAATGCAACTTTTATTGGTATTTGTTTAAATTTTTTCAAAATTCAATTTTATCAAAAAAGTTATGAGGATGTTAAGTCTGGAATTAAAAGAGTATTTGTTTCTAGATTTGATATGAAGAGTGTATTTTCAAAATGTGGTATATCCATTTTTGAGATAATTGACTTTTGTTGCTTCACAATGGTGGCTTATATATATAGAAAAACTATTGTTGTTTAATTTATATATGCATAAAGTATATTAGATAATGTTAAAAGTTAAATTATAGATAAAAAAAAAACATAGATAAATTTTGTTTATATATTAGCATTTACTTTCAAATTACTGTATATCCAATTAAAAGTGTAAGGTATTTACATTTTATAATAATAATTTGGAAAGTAAAAAACTTTAAAAGACCTAAATATCTTTTATTAACTATTTTTATTCAACATATTGTATAACTCTATATATTTAATGTTAGGTAATTATATTTTAATGATAATGTAAATAAAAACAATTTTCTGTTAAAACAATGTAAACTACTATGTTTCAAAATTCACAATTGTGAATATAAATTTATTTCGGAGAGTTAAATACAAAACAATAAACCATAACATTTTTTTTTTTTTTTATTTAACTATATGGTTTAAAATTTACATTTTATTATTTAATCATCTTTACTAGACAATGTAGTATCTACTCTAGAATCTTGCAGAAGTGTCTCGTAAAGTTTGCTTATTATGTTACCTACACCAACAGTTTTTAGCAGACAAAAAACATATTTTTTTAAACATTTTTTACATACACACTAGGACACATAGTTTTAAAGTGTTCTATTTCTACCCCTTCTTATGTTGGCAATGTCAGATTTGCTTAGAGTGATGAAAACATAGTACTAAATCGTGATAGGTGAAATCGATAATATTAAACAAAAGTGCAAGCCACTCTGGGTAACACCATTGCAACCTGACACAGAGGGGTAGCAACATAATGAATGAAATATAATCATGACAGAATTGCTCATGCCCAAAGATTTTTGTTTTGAAAAGCAAATTTTTTTTATATTTAATTTTTAACTTTTTATATGCAAAGAAAAGCTGTTTGTGTTTACTTTGTCTTTGATCTGCTAATCCTTTAGAACAAGAGAAGCTTTTCTATTATAAGTGATTTTACCATATCTTCTATTTTGGTTTTATTAATTTAAAGTTAAAACACTGAGTAAAAACAAATTGTGTACTATTAAAGTAGGTGTAAAGATTTCGAAGCTTGCATTAGCTGAAAAAACTTTTTAAAAAAACATTTCTTTCCAAGAAAAAATATCAATGTATAACTAATACCTTTTATCAAGGTAGTTAAAAAAGTTAGTTAACTGTAGATACATTCTGAAAACATAATCACTGAAATAATACATAGTTTTTGAACAACAAACTTCAATGAAAATTTTAACTTATTAATAACTTTGATTTTTTTTTTTAAGAATTGTAAAGTTTAGAATCAATATATACAGATGATATATAACTAATTGATATACTGATAATATATAGCACCATGTGTACTTTAATTCTCACTTATTGTTAAGAATTTTATACAATTTTATTTTTTAAAGTATAAAAAAACTTTAAATTTTTCAAAACTTATTTTCTTACCTTAAATTTGCATCCAATATTCAAATACTGACATGGAATAATTGTATTAGCGCAACTATCAGTAATATGGGAAGACATCTACAAAAAGTTTTAAAGAATTAGTCTTTACCCAAGTGAGTTTATTTTTCCAGTAAAAAAATGTTTAAAAAACGTATTAAAGACGTGTTTAAAATGTCTAGACCTAAAACCAATGTTGTTTGACGTTTTTAGCTTGTCAAGTGTTTACTTGGGTAAAAAAGGATACTTTTTATATTAAACAGCTACTTCAATTTTAAATCAAACCTCTTTACGCAAAATTTCCATACCACATTGATTTAAACAACAAAGAGGTAAACATTCGCAGTTTTCTTCATGACTCTAAATGTAAATTTACGAGAAAATTAAATTTTTACTTCATTTTTATTAAATTTAACATTTCTTTTAGCACATTCATCAATTAACATTATCATCATCATTACAATCATCATCATTATTATCATAAAGGCCGTCCCGAGGAGACGCGTCGGAGGGTGTCTTACCCCAACAGAAAAACATTCAAAAACAAGTAGGTATATTTGGACTCTGGACACGGCAAACGAAGACCTTTTTTGTTAACATCTTAGTTAGCAAAACCTTTTTTTCAAGGTCTTAAATGGCAAAAAAACAGACCTGTCAAATCCCTCTCCTCCCCATTCTTTATCAAGAACTCTTTAGGAACCTAGCTTGCATACTTAAATTGGGCCAAAATATGAAAATACACCACAAACGTTGGCTGTTTTCTCCGATGCTAACACAACGTTAATCCAATGTTAGTTTTATTATATTCATATTAATAAAAACCTTATTAACGAAGTCATTAAAAACAGTTAGAAAAATTACATTGGTTCAATGTATGTAAAAATATCGCAAATATTGGTTGTTTTTCCGATCTAAACCCAACATTGATCCAATCTTTAGGGATCAACGTTGATCCAATGTATATGGATCAACGTTTATCAAATGTGTATAACACCATATTGATCCAATGTGTATAGATTAACGTTGATATAATGTCTACAACTCAATGTTAATCTAATGTGTATGGATTAACGTTTTATTATTTACCATAGATCATCAATGCTCAATATACATTTGAATTAGTTGAGTCATATGCAGTGGATAAACGTTGTGTTTTCACTGAGAAAAAGCATGTAAACAAATACATATTCGTATAGTTTTTAAGAATTATTTTTCTAAATATTTTATTTGATTATGGAAATAAAGTTTGCTATTTTCTTTTTCTTTTTCTAATATAACAAGTAATCAAGCCGCAAATAAAACAAACATGAATAATGCGTTTTTAATCAGATGTGTTAATTACAAAGTGTTAACATTAAATATATAAGTATAATCAAATGTTGACTAATCAAAATGAATGAAATATATGTATATATATATATATATATATATATATATATATATATATATATATATATATATATATATATATATATATATATATATATATATATATATATATATATATATATATATATATATATATATATATATATATATATATATATATATATAGAAAAAAATATGCGCACAAATACATGATTTTGAATATGTATATATATACTATTTATATCGAGTATGCATATATACTAAAATATAAAAACAAATAAATTTAATTCCGAAAGAAGTTAAATATAAGGTTGTTTAAAAGTAAAATATAACGTTGAGTCTACTTAAAATACAACGTTTCGCCAATGTAAAATACAACGTGGTACCAATGTAAAGTACAATGTTGAATCAACGTAAAGTATAATGCAATGCCCACTTAAAATACAACGTTAGACCAACGTTACTTTTTGATTGTTGGCGACGTCGCATTTGAAACCAAAATCATATAAATACAACGTTATTGGTCAATGTTGAGTTATACACAACGTTGGCGGTCAATGCCCAGCCGGCACAATGACGTTGAAATAACGTTGAAACAACGTCGCAAACCGACCATATGCCACGTTGAAACAACGTTGAAATTTGGTTGAATTGGAAATAAAATCCGACGTCGAAAACTACGACGTTGAAACAACGTCGATGATTACATCGTTTCAACGTTGATCTAACGTCTTATCGACTACATATCAACCATATTTCAACTTTGAATAGGTGATATATTTTATTGATACGTAGTTGATAAGACGTTAAAACAACGTTGAAACAACGTAAATTCAACGTTGATTTTTGTTTTTTATTTTGGTTAAATCCAATTAACTAAAAAATTTTCTCAACTTTAATTGCAATAAAATAACACAATAAAAAAGCAATAATTTGCGCAGAGGATATTATATTTCACGTAAATTAATCAGATACAACTAAATTGCTTCAACGGACTTTATATACAATGCAAATAAAATAAAATGTTTGAAAAAAAAAAGTTTTATTTATCAGTAATATATTTATCAATTTATCAATAATAACTATTATTAATAGTTCCAGAACAACTAGGAAAAAGTATGAATGTTATACATCGGGTTTATCGCCTTTTACGCGCCGACCACCACCATTTGATCTGTCGAGTGCGTATTTTAATAAAGTCATTATTCCTTTTCTTATTTTGGCAACTGTAGCAGTCACTTTAATTGACAAAACTCTCTCTATTAAAAAGGTATTGCCTGAGTAACTTTCATCAAATACATCAAAAAGTTAAAAATAAAATAGCATTAAAAAAACGAAATGTGATTTTTAAAAAATATATAATTTTACACTTAACTTACAAGTAAATACCTAACGTTTGTTCCTTTAAACTTCTTTTTACCTTTACCGCCAGCCATATTAAATTTTGATTATAAACCATTGGTCAACAACCTGCATTATACATTGTTATTATAGTTACATTAAAAATTGATAAACATGTCTTAGACAAAATAGAAATTATTCTCAATGAAAAATTGCACAAACCGCAAAGGTTTCTTACCAAACCGTAATGCAAGTAAGAAAAAAAATTGATACAGGGGAAGAGTTGTGTCCAAGGAGACCACCTTCTAAACGCAAGAAAACACCAAGAGCGGACAGTATAATCAGAAATATCAGCCTGGAAAACAGAAAAAAGCCACTAAGCTTATCCATGAAGCTGTAATTGTTGTGTCAGACCGGACCATTTGTAGAAGGCTAAAAGAAGAGGGATTGATGTCCAGCCAAAAAAGTCAAAAATTGACAAAAAAAATTAAAAATATTAAAAATAATGTCAAAAATCTTATATTTATGCAAGATGGTTCAACTTGCCAAACAATAAAAACTTTTATGGCTTAGTTGATGTATTGCCATAGCCAGACAAACCGCATGATCTTAACCCCATAGAAAACATTTAGGAAATAGTAAAGCAAGAGATTGGAAAAAAAAATCTTACTAATAAGCAATATCTTATGGAAGAGATTATCAAGATCTGGTATAATAATCCAATGTTGACAGAAACTATGAAAAATAAATTGCAAGCATGCCACAATGCAATGAAGTAGTTATTGCAAATAAAAGTGTTTTTGCAAAATATTTATACTTTATATATATTTTATATAATTTATCATAATAATCAATGAATATTCAAAATGTTCAACTTTTATTATTTATTTTTATCAAGTACAACTTTATAAATAAAAGAAAAAACTTTAAATTGAACCATTATTGTAGATATATATATATATATATATATATATATATATATATATATATATATATATATATATATATATATATATATATATATATATATATATATATATATATATATATATATATATCTACAATAATGACAAGAAAAAGTTTACAAGAAAAACCAGACCAGAAAAAGTTTACAAACTTAAATTATTCTTTTTTTTAAATTGATAGACTGCCTGCCCAAACCAAACCCTCAGTCGATGTAGCAGCACTCCCTTGCGAGTCAGGCTACTTGTCAGTTGTTGTAGCAGCACTCCGTTGCGAGTCAGGCTATTTGTCAGTCGATGTAGCAGCACTCCCTTGCAAGTCAGGCTATTTGTCAGTCGATGTAGCAGCACTCCGTTGCGAGTCAGGCTATTTGTCAGTCGATGTAGCAGCACTCCCTTGCGAGTCAGGCTATTTGTCAGTTGTTTTAGAAGCACTCCGTTGCGAGTCAGGCTAATTGTCAGTCGATGTAGCAGCACTCCCTTGCAAGTCAGGCTATTTGTAAGTCGATGTAGCAGCACTCCATTGCGAGTCAGGCTATTAGTCAGTCGATGTAGCAGCACTCCCTTGCGAGTAAGGCTATTTGTCAGTCGATGTAGCAGCACTCTGTTGCGAGTCAGGCTATAAGATAGTCGATGTAGAAATACTCCCTTGTAGCAGCAGGCTATGAGATAGTTGATGTAGCAACATTTACGCATGTTTTAAAAATGTTTTTTAATATAACAAAAATAAAAACACCATTAATTAAAAAAACTTTCTAGTCGTTATTATTGCGGTTTTTTAAAATTTTTTTAAAAAACAATAAAATTTAATGTACTTCCCCATTAATTTAATTGCTTTGACATTTCGACGACAATCAAATACAGCTTAAGAGACAAGGAAATTAAAATTGTAGTCGAAAGTGACTTTTTTTTACATTAAAAGACTCTTTCGACTACACTATAAGGATTTATATATAAATAAATAAATATATATATATATATATATATATATATATATATATATATATATATATATATATATATATATATATATATATATATATATATATATATATATATATATATATTCATAAAAGCATATGTATGTATATATAAATACATATATATGTATGTTTATTTATAAACATATATATTTACATTATAAACATTACTAGAAAGAGTTTTTACTAACATCTCTTTCTAACAATAAAGATATATCAGAAAGACAAAAGAACCAAACATTAACTAATTTCTAAAAGGGTTGAAACACAAGAACAAAACATTTATAAAATAAAACATTATTCATAAACTAAATAAAATGTATTAATTTAGCAACCAATAAAATGTGTAAATCACTGAAGCATAGAAAAAAATGTTCAAAATCTTTTCTTCCTAAATCAACTTACAGACAGACAATTAATACCTTGAGCTACAGTATGTGGAGTATGCATAAAAATTGTTTTCTGTTTCTTTTTTTGCGTTACAGGAGTAGGTACTTGCTTACTATTCTGTTGGTTATTATGTTTTCTCTTGCATAAGCATGGTAGTGGCTCCTATAAAAATTATTATCAAAATAAAACTAATAATACTTGAATTAAGTATCTTTTAAAATAGTTACCGTTTTCTGAATCTGATTCTATCTGAGTATCACTAGTAGTGGGCAAATTTAAATTTATCACAAAACTCATGATCTTAAATACATTATATAAT